GCGTCTCCTTTGAGCTGTTTGCAGACAAGTTTCCAAAGACAGCAGAAAATTTTCGTGCTCTGAGCACTGGAGAGAAAGGATTTGGTTATAAGGGTTCCTGCTTTCACAGAATTATTCCAGGGTTTATGTGTCAGGGTGGTGACTTCACACGCCATAACGGCACTGGTGGCAAGTCCATCTATGGGGAGAAATTTGAAGAGAACTCCATCCTAAAGCATACAGATCCTGGCATCTTGTCCATGGCAAATGCTGGACCCAACACAAATGGTTCCCAGTTTTTCATCTGCACTGCCAAGACCGAGTGGTTGGATGGCAAGCATGTGGTCTTTGGCAAAGTGAAAGAAGGCATGAATATTGTGGAGGCCATGGAGCGCTTTGGGTCCAGGAATGGCAAGACCAGCAAGATCACCACTGCTGACTGTGGACAACTCTAATAAGTTTGACTTGTGTTTTATCTTCGCCCTGAGACCATTCCTTCTGTAGCTGAGGAGAGCACCCTCCACCCCATTTGCTCACAGTATCCTTGAATCTTTGTGCTCTCGCTGCAGTTCCCTTTGGGTTCCATGTTTTCCTTGTTCCCTCCCATGCCTAGCTGGATTGCAGAGTTTAGTTAAGTTTATGATTATGAAATAAAAACTAAATAACAACAACAACAACAAAAATAGACCCCCTCTTCTCACCTTTCTGATTCCTGAAACACTCCCATAGTGCTCATGGTAACATACCATAAAAAACCAAACAAACAAACAAAAAAACCCTTTATTCCCAACTTCTCTTCTGAGGGTTCCCTCCTCCTCACTGCATCTACACTCTGGCTCTCCTCTCGGGTGCCTCTTCCCTCCTGCCCTCTTCTGCCCTGTGTCATCAGACGCCACTCACTTCCCCTCCATCATGGGCATGGGTGATGTCCCCTCTTGCAGCGCACTACCCCTCACTCTGAACATTTCCAGCTTGTCTCCGATACTCTCAAACCATGCCTATCAGAACTCGAATGACTCTCCACAATTCCGCCTCGGTCCTTGCCCTTCTGGCCTTCAGTGCTTTTATCTGCTACCCTACCACAGCCACTCACGCCTGTGGCTGTATCCTAGACACCGCCAGCAAGGGCAACTTCCATACTACAACTTCCAACACCCCATTCTCTCACCGCAGCCTCTCCAACTTAGCATTCTAGCATCCTGACTCCAACAATGTTTTGGCCCCAAAGTCACTACTTTTTCACTGCCAAGTTATATGACTTATGCCAGATATATACTGTACAGAATTGGTAATGGCTACAAGTTCACCCAAAGATGACAAAAGTTAATCAGCCTTTAAACAAACCCAAACATAGCACCAATAAAAGGCAATGGAAACCTGTCTCCGAGATCTGGAGATGGCTCTGCTTTATGCCAGAAGAAACTCATCATTCTGAAAGAAAAAAAAAAAAAAAAAAAGTCAAAAAGGATTTTGTGGCAGTGAGGCTACTCTAGCTATAAGGGCCACCTCCTCACGACCATGACCAGCCAGTAACCAAAGCAGGACGTGCAGTCACACAGAAAAAGAAGCAAGCTGAAAACCAAAGTCAAGATTTCCACAAATGCAGTCAATATTCTCCGAATTCAGAGGATTCTACAACACCATCAACTGGGACTAAGATCTCTGGAAGGCATAGATGCAAGACAGTAATTCTTTCCTTATAAAACTGGCTTTAATGATTTCACACCAATATTATGGTTTCCCCTGAAACACTTAAAAGCCTTGATGTGCAAGGCAACACAAACCCAAAGGGTATGAAAGTTAAATACTCCAACTAAAATGCAGGGAATGTGACACCGTAATCCCATTTAGGAGACAGAATATGGAGAGTTCTTGGTTTTGATCCCTGTACCTGAAATCTTCATGGGAAACTATACTTAAGGAGAATGTGCTCACGCTGCCAATTCTTTTAGCTCTTCCATCAAAAAAGTAAACCTCAGAAATCAAAGTAAAGCTCTGAACACTCAAGGTCTTTATTTACGATGTGTATAGACCACTAGAAATTAGAGAGCTTATCAAGTTTTTGAAAATGAAAAGGATTTTTCAGAGATAGCATTCAGAGCCTGACATTTGAGATGTCCTTAAATTTCATTTTTACCTGCATCTGGAAGAACTTTTATTCAATCTCTTCCTTTTCTGAGCCAAAAGGTTAATGAAATCAGTCACAAAACAGGATGGGCCCACAGCCAAGAAACAAGCTGCTGGCACAGAATTAAACAGAATACTCATGAAAACGAAAGATCTCAACAACTCTTAGTGCCAAGCTATAAAGTTTTTCAACATCTTGGATCTGTCTTCATCAAGTTAGCGATAAAGCTGAAGAAAACCTGATGTTAGCCAAGAACCATGGATTCATACTTGATCAGACAGACCTGGGCAAAGATCTGCCACCATTCTCATTTCTCCACTAAAAGACCACATTCAAATGGTGGTGCTGGCCTGGAGTGGGGGTTCACGCCTATAATCCCAGCATTTTGGGAGACGAGGTAGGTGGATCACCTAAGGTCAGGAGTTTGAGACCGGCCTGGCCAACATGGTGAAACCCTGTCTCTACTAAAAATACAAAAATTAGCCAGGTGTGGTGGCGGGCACCTATAATCCCAGCTACTCGGGAGGCTGAGGCAGGAAAATCACTTGAACCTGGGAGGTGAAAGTTGCAGTGAGGCAAGATCGCACCACTGTGCTCCAGCCTGGGTGACAGAGCGAGACTCCATCTCAAAAAAACAAAAACAAAAAACAAAAAAGAAATGGTGGTACTTTCCGGCTGAGAAACGTTCTATTCCTAAACAGGTTTATCAAAGGAAGAATGAGTGATAGCAGCATAGGAAAGAGCTGTCATTTTGTGCTTCAAAGAAGTTTAGATTTCTCATAGTAAACTTTTAGAAACATCTGCATTATTTTGATGAATGAGAATCATCAACAACATATGAAATCAGATATAACTACAACCAACAAAATACTGTCCCCAGCTTTGGGCCAAGAGACCCAAACTTCACCTTTCCAAATAGAAAGTAACTGTACAACCAATAATCCATTAACCTAAAACCTGCCAAACAATCAAAAGTCAATTGTTATCAAAGTCAGCAAGCAGCCCTGCTAGTTGTCTGCCTAAGATTAGGCTCCTTCTAAGCCTTCTGATGAGGACAATAATTTCAGACAAGGTTGGCAAGAATACGATGAGTGGCTAAACCAGCCACAGCCTTACGACCCAGAATCCAAACAAGGATACGGCCGTTATCAGCGAGAGGGGTATCAAAAAAGCTTTTCCCAGGTTAGAATCTTCATGACCAACTCTTGATGTTTTACAAGTCACTTCCTCCCAGTAGCAATGTAAGAGAATGAACTGCCCCACAATCCTGCCATTGCTACATCTGGCCAAGTGGCACTGATTCCAAGCTTGGAAACTGCGTGATTCAGCAAAAGATAGCGCTGAGCAGCTTGACCTCCTGAGGCAAACATACCATGTCAGAGAGTAAGACGGAAACAAACACAGGAACTGGAGGATCCTGAAGATAAACTCCCCAGAGGTGTGCAGGATTCACGTCTGCTTTTGCTTTTTCTTTCATTGTGCTAACTGTAGACTATTTCACAGGGATTATTTCTGTGTTTCATTGAAATTATATTTCACATGTTGAACTTTAAAGTCAAAATAAACACAATAAAGAGCTCAAATGATTTCCCCCAATAACCCAGTCAAATAAGCAGGACTGAACTTCAGTTTCAGTGAAAACTAGGGGTTGGTTTTTGGAAATTATTTCTAAATGCAATGACTACAATAGTCACTTCTAACATAAAATGTACCATTAAAAAAACTATATGGTAATTTCTTTTAGTATCTGTGCTATGTTGCAGTGTAAGATTTTATCTCACCCTCCTACCCTCCCCAACCCTGCTCCCACCCACAGTCTTTCCCATCACAGGAAGTGGCAGCTCCAGTCATCTCACTGGCTGCTCAGGTCAGAAACCCTGAAGTCACCCTTCACTCCTCGCAATCTCATCTCTTCCCTTGGAACGTGCAACCGCTTCTCTCATGTCAGCCACCGTCCTATACCAAGCCATCAGCGTCTCTTGCTTGGGTTTACTTCAATGAACATACCCACGGGTCTCCTACCCTTGCTTCCTGGTCGATTCTCCACAGAGGCCAGAGTAATCCTTTTAAAACAGAAGTCAGATCGTATCACTCCCTGCCAAAACCCTCCCACAGCCGTACACTATCTGATTGCATCGACTGCTTTCTCCCTTGATGATGATGTCTCAGCTCTGTTGCTGGAAGTTGTCACGTACACTCCTGCCTCAGGGCTTTGCAACTGCTGGTTGCTCTGCCTGGCATGTTCTTCCTTCCTGTTATGCACACGATTCACCTTCTTCAAGTATTTGCTCAAGTATCCGCCCGCAGTAAGGCCTTTCCAGGAACCCTATTTTAAACTGCAAACTCCTGCAAAATAGGCGCCCTCTCATCTCTGCATTATTTCTCTCCATATAATTTATCATCTGCTGATACACCACTTTTTACTTATTTTGGTTAATGTCTTATCTTCCTATCAAAATGTAAACTACTCAAAGGTAGTAATTTTTGCCTAGTTTGTTTTCTGCTGTATCCCCAGCAACTAAAATACTCAAATTTTTGATGAATGAATGAATATGCCGAATGATTGAATGTAAAAAACTTGATGAACTGAGAGGTCCTAGCTCCAAAAAGAACATTAAAGATGAAGTGTAAGAGCATTACAAATGATCACCAATATACACAAGGGCAGAGTTGCAGTGAATGATTAAATCAACAGCCAGCTGAATTGTGAGTGAAATTCCCTTTACATAAACATGGCCTTATAATCAGATGACCTCAGATGGGTCTCTGGTGTGTACAAAGAAAGCAAAACCAATTTTCCCATGAGTGCCTCTGGACACTCACGTAAGAGTTACAGATATTGACATTTAAATATTTATCATGCTTCTGAAAACATATTTGTAAGAGAAAAACATAAAAATAAAAATGTACAAAGTTCTTTATTAAAATAATAGCTTAAATAAATCCTCTGTCAACACCAGAGTCAGGGACTGGATCTAGACTCTAGAGCTTAGAGTTTTTTACATAATTACATGAAAACACTGAATCCGTCTTCACAGACAGACATGATGACAATTTGGTTAAAATCAATAAGCCATCTTCCAGACGCAGCTTAGAGTTCAGGCGAGAAAAGTAACTGATGACAATGACTGTACATAATATGGTTCTCGTTCTATTTGCCTTTTTTCGTCTTGGCTGTCTTCTCCTTTCTTTTTTTCACATGTTTAGGAATTTTGTTTTTTCTTTTCTCTCTCTGGGCTTCCTTGACCATCTTTTTTCTTTCCTGTAAAAAGCAAACAAAAAAGCCAAATTTCATTCATTTGGAGTATGCATTTTTTTTGTTTTTTGTTTTTTTGTTTTTTAGACAGGGTCTTGCTCTGTCGCCCAGGCTGGAGTGCAATGGTATGATCATGGTTCACTTCAGCCTCCACCTCCTGGGCTCAAGCAATCCTCCCACCTCAGCCTCCTGGGTAGCTGGGACAACAGGCGCACACCACCACACCTGGCTAGGTTTTTTTGGGTATTTTTTGGTAGAGATGGGGCTTCACCAGATTGCTCAGGCTGGTCTCGAACTCCTGGGCTCAAGTGATCCATCCACCTCAATCTCCAAAAATGCTGAGATTACAGGCATGAGCCACTGCACCCACCTGCAGTATTCTTCTTATTATTATAACTAAATAAAATATACACACAGAAGAATAAAAGTGAGTGTAATGTAAAACAAAGAAAAGAAAATGATTATGGGTTGGTGGAGAACTTGGGGTGAAAATTGTCTTTGAGCTTGTTCTTTTGAGAGACAGGGACTCACTCTGTCACCCAGGCGGGAGGGCAGTAGCAGGATCATTGTGCACTGCAGCCTCAAGCTCCTGGGCTCAGGCAACCCTCTTGCCTCAACCTCCCTAGTAGCTGAGACTACAAGCATGAGCCACCATAACTGGCCTTGAGCTTCCTTAATAGAAATGTGAAGACAGCCAAACAGAAATATCCGTAAGAATGTTATTAAATGTTTGCAAATACTTTTCTTTACAAGTTCCATATTCTAACAGAAACAGACATTGGAAAGAGACAAAATATGTATTTCTAGTAGACATACGAGAAAATATGCTAGCAGCTGAGTATGTCCCTCAGAAGTCTTGGGACCCACATTGTATATGGTTTAAAGGATTAGACTAAGATGGAATAATAATAGTTACATAGCATTCAGTCAGCAGTGTCTCTTATGTCTATGGCTAGCAATTAAAGAAATACAAGAGTCCCTTCTTATCCATGGGGGATGTATGTTCCAAGACCCCCAGTGGATGCTTAAAACAGTGGATAGTGCCAAACCCTATATATACTATGTTTCTTCCTATATATACATACCTATGATGAGGTTTAATTTATAAATTAGGCACAGTAAGAGATAATAACTAATAATAGAATAGTAACAATATACTATAATAAAAGTTATTTGAATGTGGTCTTTCTCATTCTCAAAATATCCCACAGTATCATACTCATGTGACAGTAGCTTATTCATTGGCAGATGCAGCCTCTCTGGTAATTTTTCTGTTTTTTAGTCCAAACCTATTCCTGAATCTGTTTAACTGTTCCTTACAGTAAATGGCCTGGTGTCACTCATTTCAGGGGAACTCTTGCTGAAACCTTTGAAACCTTCGTATAGGCTCAATGCTTTCCGGAGCAACATGGTGTGGTCAACTGGAAGATGTTTTTGTTTACATCTTTCACCCACAAATGTAATGCCTTTTCCATCTTAACTAAGCACTTATCACATACTATGGCCCTAACTTTTGCAGTTTGGGGTGAGATAGCAAAACCAGCACAAACATCTTTTTCCTTCTCCACAGTGTCATGGATAAAAGATTCTCATCATAGATCTCAGCAACTTCAGCATATGATTCTTTTCCTTTTCTTATTTATTTTTTTGAGACAGAATCTCACTCTGTCACCCAGGCTGGTGTGCAGTGGCATGATCAGCTCACTAGAACCTCAAACTTCTGGGCTCAAGGGATCCTCTTGCCTTAACCTCCCAAGTATCTGGGACCACAGGTGCTCATCACCAATGTTTTAACAGACAGGGTATCACTCTGTTGCCCAGACTGGTCTGGAGTGATCTGCCCTCCTTGGCCTCCGAAAGTGCTAGGATTACAGGCATGAGTTCCTTGCTAAGTCAAGAATGGTCACCTTTCCACTTAAAGGAAGACCTTTATGGCTTCTCTAAAGCACACCTGAACTTCCAACATCACTACTCTTGTAATTTATGGACATTATTAAGCAAAGTAAGGGTTACTTGCACACAAGCACCACAACATCACAGCAGCTGAACCGATAGCCAAGAAGACTACTAAATGACTAATGGGTGGGGAGTGTCGACAGTGTGAAGACGCTGGACCACGTGGTGATTCACATCCCAGGCAGGATGGAGGAGGACAGCATGAATTTCATCACACTACTTAGGACAGTGAGCAATTCAAAACTTATAAATTGTTTATTTCCGGAATTTTCCATTTAATATTTGCAAACCAAGGCTGACTGCTGGGAACTGAAACAGTAGAAAGTGAAAGCATGGAAGCGGGGACTATTATACAGTCTTTCAGATTCCAGAAACATCAAGCTGGGCTATAAGTCTCCCTGAAATGGCTCTTCAGTATTTACCCTGAGTCAACTCTAACATCACTTGTACTTCATACGAAATGTACGGAATTTAGTGCGTGCTCTCTCTAGGCAATGCCCAGGTGCTCCGATGAGCAGTCCAATCTTGAGATAACGTTACCACCAAAAGTCAAGTTCACACTTAGGTATTAAAACTGTAATTAGAGGTACTTATCAATAATGTTTTCAGCCATCACAATCTAGCTAGATCCTTGAGCAAAGAGAAACAAGAGCCGCTGTGCTCCCACACTAAAGAAAAGGGGAATGTATCTCATTGCTTACTTTTTTATCAACGTCAGGGCCCGTGGTGTGTTTCTTGGGGCGGGCATGGTCTCCCTGCTCTTCAGAGTCTGTGTCAGAGCACTCAGAGCTTCCAGTATCTTCTGAATCAGAACAAGTCCTTTCCTCCACTTGATTTTCTAGGAGTGCAGGGACCTTGAAATTATTAAAGAACCATGTTATTCTAAACCATGTAATTCTAAACAACACATAAACCAAGTTATGTGTTGTTGCTAAATGTGTTAATGCCAGAATTCAGATTTTAGGCTCGCAAATACATGTTAAAAACTAACATCCTGTACTGAAACATTAAAACACCAGAATGAACATCAGGAGGGAAATATGAAAGTAGCCACTCCAAGTAAGGTTCAAGAACACACCCAAATGAAGGAACCAGGGCTTTACTGCGTGACCTAGACCAACGACAAAACCGTCTGCTTCTTTCAGCTCATCAGGGGCATTTAGTTGGGACTGGGAAGGAGGCGAAATATACACAGAGGTAGAAAATAAAGATTTATACGGATAACTTCACAGCTGTTTTCCTGTGAACCACATTTCTAGCAATAAACTAATCCAATTGAGAGGGAAAACAATATTCAAAGAAGAGAAATTTTCACTACTTCCTGAAATTTAGCAGTTGTCTAATACAGTGCTTCCCAGCAGTTTTTAAGAGTGAGGTTTCCTTTTTATAAGGAAAAAAACAGATCTTTAGAAGTCAATTGTACAAGATTTTCTAGCTTGCTGCAATAAAATCTTCATGCTCTGGAATCCAAAGCATAACTTCCTTATGACACCTGTTATTATAACTCAGAAATGCAAAATACCAGAATTCCCCTAATTCAATTCTTTCCACAGAAAAGACATAATTTTAAGAAAGCAAACTGTGATCCTTTAAGTCTTCAATTAGGAAGATTTGAAGAAATAAAAGACTGCTTTTATGACTGCCTAAGTTAGAATTACTTAATCCCTGTCCTTCTAAAATGTAAAACAAAACAAGATTGTTTTAAGAAAAAAGAACATTACAGGAATCCAGCACAGCAGGATTGCTGAACTCATGAGATTGTTCTTTAACAAGTAATATCCTGGTAGGAGACCACATTCCACAGTTTTCCTAAGCTGGTTGTAAAAACCATCAAGAAGCACAATGGCTATCATTAATAACTCCACAAATGACAACTAGAATACAAAAAGATAAATACCTCACCTGCAATTACAGAACAATTCAGAGACAGAAAGAAAAATAATTTCCAAATTTCAGTGCTATGTTTAGAAAGAACATAAAAATGGCATTTCTGAAGATGTCCACAGACTTTGAAAGCAACTATAAAATTTTAACAATATAAAATAGCATTAATTTAGTTCTAATAATATTAAATAATAAAAACAAATAATATGACTAGAGTTTTATATCCTTTATAAGTGTTTTCACATAAACGAACAGTAATACATGTTCTTCATACCTTCTGAACTCCTGACAAATCTTTCTTCAATCCAGTGACAGTTTGGTATAGAATCTTATAACCAAAAGGAAAAAAAAATAAGGATCAACATAAAACTAGACAATGAAATATGCATATTGTACTACTAAGAACAATGTGGGTTAAATAACATCTCCTATGATTATACAAAGGTATCTAAAATTAATCTCACTGTAACACAGAAAGTTTATATTATTTCTGTCTACCAGATCTACTGGCCAAATCCAACCAGCCACCTCATAGTTGTTCTTTTTTTTTTTTTTTGAGACAGAGTCTTGCTTTGTCGCCCAGGCTGGAGTGCAGTGACATGATCTTGGCTCACTGCAACCTCTGCCACCAGGGTTCAGGAGTTTCTCCTGTCTCAGCCTCCTGAGCAGCTGGGATTACAGGCGCCCGCCACAATGCCCAGCTAATTTTTGTATTTTTAGTAGAGACGAGGTTTTACCATGTTGGCCAGGCTGGTCTCGAACTCCTGACTTCAGCTGATCCACCCACATCGGCCTCCCAAAGTGCTGGGATTACAGGCGTGAGCCTCCATACCCAGCCTTTTTTTTTTTTTTTTGAGAGACAGTCCTGCTCTATAGCCCAGGCTAAAGTTCAATGGTGTAATCTCAGCTCACTGCAGCCTCCGCCTCCCATGTTCAAGTGATTCTCGTGCCTCAGCCTCCCCAGTAGCTGGGATTACAGGAGCACGCCACCATGCCTGGCTAATTTTTGTAGTTTTAGTAGAGACGGGGTTTCACCATATTGGCCAGGTTGGTCTCGAACTCCTGATCTCAAGTGATCTGCCCACCTCGGCCTCCCAAAGGGCTGGGATTACAGGTGTAAGCCACTACGCCCAGCCTACCTGGTAGTTTTTACAGATAAACATTTGCCATCAATTTGAAGATAGCAAACACAAAATTTCAGCCACAATTAAGCCAAATATTATCTGCCCCACATCGAATAATTGCACTCTTCTTTAGTATGCTTGTATTACACAAGTGTATTCAATTATTATTAAAGTATTTCTAATTTCACGAATACAAATTGAGGGTGAAGTTTTTTCTCTCTTGTTACATAAGGACCTACGGAATCACCTTAATTCTGTTTCTTGGCTTACAAAGCCTGAAATATTTACTATCTGGCCCTTTACCAAAAAGAAATTTTTCCTGAATGATGTATGTTAAAGAAATATATGTTAATGGACCTCATATAATAACCATTAATAGCCTAAACTTGTATCTGAATCTTGTTTCTACAATTATAACTTGTTGGACTCATTCAAATGTGTTACCTCCTCTCATAAATTCCAATGAATTCCCTTTACATTCAATGTGCACACAAGTTAACACAGTTAGTCATCTTGCTAGAAGCCAACATCCAAGATTAGGGGAACTTAAAAGGCCCGAATAGGTTTGGGACAGTCCCCTACTACTTTTGAAGAGCTGCTTGCTACACACCAACCAATCTACTTACATTATCTTGTTGGGCATTCACGGCCATGTCCTCTTCCTTCAATTTCATAATTAGGTCCATATCCCTCTCATAATGTTTTACTTCATTTAAGGTTCTAGGAATATATGCTCGCTTAAAAACCTAACAGAGAGGAAAAGCAAAATCAAAACTGTTATTCATATACTTCTCACATTCACACAGCATACTCCTTCATCAGGTTACAGGGGAATCTATATATTCATTCATCCCCAACGCTGATGCTTAGCCAAGCTGTCTGCACACACTGGTGTCCCATCTGCGATATGGTGTCCCAAAAGTAACACTACTAATGATAGAACACTAAATTTTGCATATGACTTATTTTAAGGAGGGGGAAAAAAACAACATTAGAGCTGATTCAAGGTTATCCTTAGAATAACACTTCTCCTTCATTTGTGTTCCAAAAAGCTTTTCTGAGCAGGAGGGAAAGGGGTGGAATTACAGTTGGCAAGCGCTGACTGGCTCTGCCTTACAAAACATACCCAGCTGCTGCGGTGAAAAAGGTGGAGAGCTGCTGACAAACACAGGGCTCCTCAGAGTCAACCATTAAGAGTTGTGAGAATTTTTTTAAAAGGCTACTATGGCTCCCTCACAAAAAAACACCCTGACTCATTTTTATCAAAGCATAATATTTAAAATCTACAACATTTCTAGAATCAATACTTAACTCATTTAAAAACTCACATTTGCAAACTAAAAACAGGCTTTTCCTTCTTGACTCCTACATTCTAACAGGCTCTTAAAAAATTTTCTCCATCTAGGACAATGGGCTAACAGGTTGCTGAGTGGACCAATACAGTGAAATGTAAACTATCCAACTTGGCTCACTTAAATCATTTACCATAATACATCTCAAGGAAATATTACCATCATTTGAAAAAGCTGCTTATGTATTTAAATCAAGTTTATGCTCTAGCAACATAAAACAAACAAACAAAAAAACCTCAAAACACAAGTGTTTCCAAAGGCTGTGAACAGATAATAAATTCTACCTCTTCATCCACATGATCTTGGCTAGACCTTTCCTCCTTGGTCCTTTGAGATGCTATTTCCATGGCCTTGGAAAGAAAATAAAAATGACTTTCTTTTACATTCCAACTGCAGAAAACATATCCATGTTCCAGTTTTGGTATAAACTTGTTGCAGTCTTTATAAGTATCACCTCCTCACACTTATGAAAGCATTTAGTGAGTTCTAATGGTATAAGTTACCTTTCTAGCACAGACCTCACCAAAAAGGCTGCCATCAACCCAAAAGTAACAATAAATCAAGCTCTTCTAGTCTGGGGAATCCCTAGCTTCCCCTTTTTCAAAAGTTATGGTACTTTTACTAAATTTAAATAATTAGTTTTTGCATTTAGTAAAAGCTTTAGCATTTACTAAAGGAATACAGAGACCTAAAGAATGAAAGAACCATTCCTTAAATCCTGAGCAGTGGGCAAAGGGAATTGCAAAGAAGGCTGGCTGGCTGTAAATCCTGAATATACAACTCTATTGCTGCTGCAGTATAAACCACCAAAGAAGCTCTCTGAGCAAACAATGACTGAAACGAGGGTGACAAAGATTCCAAAGGGTTCTTTTGGTTTGTAAAACTGAGTGTCTGTTCTCTTCTCTATATAGAAGAAAGGAAAAAATTGTGGGAGCAGAGTTTTTTTTTTTTAGTTTAGACATGAAAATCAGTGCTTACCCGGGCGCGGTGGCTCACGCCTCTAATCTCAGCACTCTGGGAGGCTGAGGCCGGCAGATCACCTGAGATCAAGAGTTTATGACCAGCCTGGGCAATATGGTGAAACCCCATCTCTACTAAAAATACAAAAATTAAGCCAGGTGCAGTGGCTCACGCCTGTAATCCCAGCACTTTGGGGAGGCTGAGGCGGGCAGACCACGAGGTCAGGAGTTCGAGACCAGCCTGGCCAACACGGCGAAACCCCGTCTCTACTAAAAAATACAAAAATTAGCCAGGCATGCTGGCACGCACCTGTAATCCCAGTTATTCGGGCGGCTGAGGCAGGAGAATCGCTTGAACCCAGGAAGTGGAGGTTGTGGTGAGCCATGATCATGCCACTGCACTCCAGCCTGGGTTACAGAGTGAGACTCCATCTCAAAACACACACATACACATACACACACAATTAGCCAGGAGTGGTGGTGGGCTCCTGTAATCCCAGCTATTGGGGAGGCTGAGGCAGGAGAACTGCTTTAACCCAGGAGATGGAGATTATAGTGAACCGAAATTGCACACTGCACTCTAGCCTGGGTGACAAGAGTGAAACTTCGTCAAAAAAAAAAAAAAGAGGCCGGGCACAGTGGCTCACACTTATGATCCCGGCACTTTGGGAGGCCAAGGTGGGTGGATCACCTGAGGCCGGGAGTTCAAGACCAGCCTGACCAACATGGAGAAACCCCATCTCTATAGAAAATACAAAATTAGCTGGGCATGGTGGCGCATGCCTGTAATCCCAGCTACTCGGGAGGCTGAGGCAGGAAAATCGCTTGAACCCAGGAGGCGGAGGTTGTGGTGAGCGGAGATTGCCCCATTGCACTCCAGCCTGGGCAACAAGAGGGAAACTCCATTTCCAAAAAAAAGAAAAACAAGTTGAGGAATAAAAATGACACACTTATTTATTCCATTAAAGATGTGATTGCCTACTATGGGCCAGATATTGGGTACTTGGCAATACATGAAACTCCTGTTTCATAAAAGTTCACAATTGAGGGTGACAGAATTAAGAACTTAGTATAATAAGTGACACAATGTGACTACTTCTATTATAGTTATATGAGACTATACCTATGAAAACAATTTCTGCTGAAATCCCCCTCCAAAGAGCTTTCTAACCGGAATTTTAAAGTTCACAAGGCAGAGCAAAGTTGAGCAAAGGCAGAAATGGGAAGGTATTACAAGGAAATGGAAAAAGAGGAAAAGACAGGATAAAACCTGAAAACCTGGCCAGGCACGGCGACTTACGCCTGTAATTCCAGCACTCTGGGAGGCCGAGGCAGGTGGATCACCTGAGGTCAGGAGTTTGAGACTGGCCATGGCCAACACGGTGAAACCCTGTCTCTACAAAAATACAAAAATTAGGTGGGCTTGATGGGAGGTGCCTGTAATCCCAGTACTCAGGAGGCTGAGGTGGGAGAATCACTTGAATCCAGGAGGTGGAGGTTGCAGTGAGCTGAGATTGCACCCCTACACTCCAGCCTGGGCAACAGAATGAGACACCGTCCCAAAAACAAACAAACCTGAAAACCTATGGAGGGGCATACATGCCATGTGTTCAAAACTGTGATTCAGAGACAAACATAAAAATAGATAAACTGGATCGCATCAAAATTTAAAACTTCTGTGCATCAAAGTTTGTAATCAACAGAGTGAAAAGACAAGTCAAAGAATGGGAATAAATATTTGCAAATCACCTATCTGACATATCCAGAAAATACAACTACAACTCAACAAAAAAAACCCAAACCCGATTAAAAAAAGACATGGGGTTGGACACTGTGGCTCATGCCTATAACCCCAGAACTTTGAGAGGCCGAGAGAGGAAAAAGTACTTAAGCCCAGGAGTTTAAGACCAGACTGAACACAGTGAGACTCTGTCCCAACAAAATGAAAAAGAAAAAGAAAAACTGGCTGGGTGTCATGGTGTGCGCCTATAGTCTCAGCAGGCTGAGGCAGCTGAGGCAGGGGAACTGCTTGAGTCTAGAAGGTTGAGGCTGTAGTGAGCCAGGATTGTACCACTGTACTACAGATTGGGTGACAGAGAGACCCTGTCTCTTAAATAAAAAAAAAAAAAAGACATTTCTCCAAAGAAAATATATAAATGGCCAAGAAGCACATGAAAAGATGCTCAACATCACTAGTAATCAGGGAATCACAAACCAAAACCATAATAACATACACCTCACACTCATTAGGGGGTCTCTCATTGTCAAAACAAAATAAGAAACAAAATAATAGGTATTGGTGAGGATGTGGAGATTAATAAGTGCTGGTGAGGATGTGGAGCGATTAACACCCTTGAGCACTGCTGGTGATAATGTAAAATGGTGCATCCCCTATAGTAAACAGTATGGTGGGTTCCTTAGAAACTTGAAAATAGAAATACCACTTGATCCAGCAACTCTGCCTCTGGGTGTATATTCAGAAGAACTAAAAGCAGGGTCTTGAAGAGATATTTATACATCCATGTTCATAGCAGCATTATTCAGAATAGCCAGAAGGTATAAGCAACCTGTATGTCCATCCACAGATGAAAGGATAAACAAAATGTAGTATATACATACACTGGACTATTATTCAGCCTTAAAAGAAGAAATCCTAGGCTGGGCACGGTAGGCTCATGTCTGTAATCCCAGCACTTCGGGAGGCCGAGGCAGGCAGATCACTAGAGACCGGGAGTTCAAGACCAGCCTAGCCAACATGGTGAAACCCCATCTCTACCAAAAGTACACAAATCAGCTGGGTGTAGTGACTTGCACCTGTAGTCCCAGCTACTCGGGGAGGCCGAGGTGGTAGAATCGCTTGAACCCGAAGGTGGAGGTTGCAGTGAGCCAAGATTGCACCGCTGCACTCCAGCCTGGGTAACAGAGTGAGACCCTGTCTCAAACAAAAAAAGAAGAAGAAATCCTGTCACATGCTACAACATGGATGAACCTTATCATACTAAGTGATATAAGTCAAACACAAAAAGACAAATACTATATGATTCCACTTATAAGAGATACCTAGAGTAGGTAAATTCACAAAGACAGAAAGTAGAATGGTGATTGCTGGAGGATGGGAAGTTGTTACTTAATGGGTACAGAGTATCCCTCTGGGATGATGCAACAGGTGTGGAGACAGATTGTGGTGATAGTTTGTACAACAATGTGAATGTACTTAATGCCACTGAACCATACATTCAAATGGTTAAAGCAATAAATTTTTATATTATGTCTTTTACCAGAATTCTAAAAAATTATATATTCAGAAAAGCCTCTGAGGCCGGGAGTTGTGGTTCACACCTGTAATCCCAGCACTTTGGGAGGCTGAGGCAGGTGGATCACCTGAGGCCAAGATTTCAAAACTAGCCTGGGCAACATGATGAAACCCTGTCTCTACAAAAAATACAAAAATTAGCTGGGTGTGGTGGCATGTGTCCATAGTCCCAGGTACTCAGAGGCTGAGCTGGGAGGATCACTTGACCCTGCGGGGCAGAGGTTGCAGTGAGCCAAGATTTTGCCACCATGTTCCAGCCTGCGTGACAGAGCGGAATCCTGTCTCAAAAAAAAAAAAAAAAAAAAAAGGAAGAAAAGAAAAAAGAAAAAGAAAGAAAAAGAAAGGCCTCTGAGAAACAAGGGAAAAGAATTAATGACCAAAAAACTGACAGTTTTCTTACTAAACTTTCACAAACTTTGACAGTCTATGTAATCTTGCCAGATAATTAAAGTAAAAAAACCTTGGCTATCAAGTTGACTCAGGAGAGGAAAGGGAAAAAAAAAAAACAAAAAAAAACCTGGCTTTACCATTGGCTGTTGGCTGTTTTGCTATATTTTTGATTCTTCATCTGTTAAGTAAGAAGGAAAAGGTGTCAGGAAGCTGTCAAAATGAATAAACTACACTATGCAATCTGGGTCCCTCAGAAGTGTCAAGCAAATGCAATTACTGGTTAGCATCCCAAATCCAAAAATCAAAAATCTAAAATACTCCAAAATCCAAAACTTTTTGAGCACCAACATGATGTTCAAATGAAATGCCAAATGGAGCAGTGACGATTTTGGATTTTGGTATTTCGGATGCTCAACTAGGGTAAGTACAAGGCAAATATTTCAAAATTGGAAAAAATTCAAAATCTGAAACACTTCTGGTCCCAAGCACTTGAGGTAAGAGATACTGAACCTGTACTGCTATTTTTTATTCCTCCTTCCTCTCCCTGTCTTACCTTTGAGAGATAAGCATCCATGTTCTCATGTGTAATGGATGGATCTGTGACAAATTCAAAGAGCTCCCGCACAGTCATGACGGCAACACTGTGCTTCAGAAAGAAATCTGTCAGAAGGAAAAACGTTGATAGCTTTTATGAGGAAAAAGGTTAGTATTCCAACTACCTTATAGAGAAACAAGGAGATAAAACTACATACCATCTCCCCACAAATGGTTTAAGCGTCACTGCACCAAACAATTTAGTGAGAACATTTTATGCCAACAGCTTAACTGAGTACAAAACCAAAACAGACCAACGAGCTGTTTCGAAAATTCCCGTTTCTACTCACCATTGACGTTGGTGCAATCCTTTCTCAAGAACTCCAAGGCATGTGGGTGGTCGTGCTCCACAGACTGAGAAACGTCAATGATATACACGCCTCCAGCGTGGTACCTATGGCCAGAGACACAGAAGCTGTGGGATGGTACTACTTTACTGTTTTTTGTTTAAAATAAATTCTACTCTTAAGAGCAAGGGAAGTAATTCACAAAATGACCAAGGTAGATAAGATGAGGCCATCCTGACTAACAGATGAAAGCTGGGAGAATTTCCAAAGTCCATTCACTGTTAATGATCCAAGCGGTCAATTCTGTGACTAAGGTCACTGAAAAAAGGAATCCTATCTTATGCCATTTGGAAGCCAACAATAAAACTTCAGATGTTAGTGTGACTTCTTGGAGTGGGATTTTGTTTGTCATTTATCATTTTAAAGGACACAAAACAACTTACAGGCAGTTCTTAAGAGACAAAATACACTCACAGCATGTTAAATTCACTGAGATCTGCATGGACGAGTCTGGCATCCTGATACATTCTTCTCATGTATTGAATGACCTGCAGGTACAACTCCCGAGCCTTGGATTCTGATAACTGGACATTTTTCAAGAGTGGTGCAGGCCTTGAATGAAAAGAAAATGAACTAAGACAAAATGACCAAGAACAGCCGGGCATGGTGGCTCAAGCCTGTAATCCCAGCACTTTGGGAGGCCGAGACGGGCGGATCACGAGGTCAGGAGATCGAGACCATCCTGGCTAACATGGTGAAACCCCGTCTCTACTAAAACATACAAAAAAACTAGCCGGGCGAGGTGGCGGGCGCCTGTAGTCCCAGCCACTCGGGAGGCTGAGGCAGGAGAATGGTATGAACCCGGGAGGCAGAGCTTGCAGTGAGCTGAGATCCGGCCACTGCACCCCAGCCTGGGCGACAGAGCAAGACTCTGTCTCAAAAAGAAAAAAAAATGACCAAGAACAAGTTTTCTTGCTTCTTACTATACTGTTACATGCCTTTCTCTTCTACAACTCATCATGTGAGCTGCACGTGGGACAATCTGCCTCACTGCAGATAAACCAAGAAGGTACCAGCAAATAGATGCTTTCCCAACACACTGTCTAAGACCACCCTCCAACATAGGACTAACTTGCTCCTCATTCTGAAGCATTTTCAGACTTGAAAAGCTAGAATACATTGATAACATGTATTCACTAATATAGTGGGAAAGATTCATAAAAGAAGTTATTCAAATGGGAAATATTCACAGTGGATAAACTCAAAGAACTTAAAAATACAGTTCTCAGAATGCAATTATTAGGGCTTCCACATACTTACACGTCATCTTTACCGATGAAACTCATGACAAGAACATGACTTCTTAGCATTATTGGTTCTGGACACGGTATCTCTGCTGTGTTTAGCCTGTGACATTGTAACAAATAAAAGGACAGCTGAAAAGGTGAAAAGGCATCTAAATAAATTACAACTGCAGGTCACAAAATTAATATGGCTGTTAAGAAATAGCACCAAGGCCTCTCAACTGTATTATAATATTTCATAAACTCTAAGATAATGTTAACTGGCACCATTATGTACCACTGAGAATGACAAAACACTAGCAACTCGACTATTACATCCCATAACCCATAATAGCCAAAGCAATTCCAGAGATGTTAAACTGAAAAAAAATGTGCATCTTACAATGGAGGAAATAAAGGAGATATGTCCACAATGTGAGTTGATTAGCCTGAAAAATGCTTAATAAAAATAGTTGGACTCACACCTAATAGCTTGTTGAACACAAAAGACTTTCAAAACGAGTAGTACTTACTCAATACTACACTATCCAATGTGTCACCTGTGTATAGCATATAAAAAGTTATAAGACATTTTTAAAAACTCCATAATTTTCAGAAAACTTGATCTCAACTAGATGAGGCCTTTACCTGATAAAAAGGTCTTAGTGCAAACAAAGAATATATAAAAGTGTCCAAAACTGGACTGAAATAAGAAAAGGAAGCCACGACAAACAAAGAGTTCACAACCTAACCAAGATTAGCCCAAAACTGCAATACCTATGAAACATGACAGAGCATTATAACCACCTGATTGTGTCACTTTCCTGCTAAAATCCTTTAACAGTTCCTTATTGTCCTCAGTATAAATTGCAAATGTTTTCAATGGCTTACGAGGCCTTCCAAATGACCTAGCTTTGTGGAATAAATATGAATTGTAGCAGTATTCTTCTGCAATGGATTCTCAGAATAGAAAACAACAGAATAGGAAACAATCTCTATTTGTCCAGAAATGTGTTTCTTGTGCTTACTTCAGCAGACCTAATAGAAATGAAGGCCCTAACAAGTCCCTGCATTTGGGCAGAACCACACTGGGATCTGCTGGGAGGAAGGACTGATGTTCATGTGCAGGGCACAGGACAGACATACACACATCCCAGACAGTCACCTGATTAAGTTCCTCATTTCTTTTTCTGCCCAAGTTTTCACCATTTTCCTAGGGTTTCCTTTACAATAGCCATGACGAAATCTTGAATAAGAAAAATATTTATTATTTCAAGTATTCCATTATTGTCTTAATGTTTTAGGAAACAGAAATTAAACCAACTGGAGGGAAAAATCTGAACTTACCTGAATTCCCCACTTACATATTTATCCCGATCTTTGAACACCAAAATAGAAGTTTTATAAATTTTGATTGCTCTGCTCTCTCCATCTGCTGTGCTAGCATGGTATACATTAGCCTATTTTAAGTCAAAAACAAAAATGAAGTTTACATTAAATAACTACTTTTTCAATATATTTGATTCTAACCTCAAAAGTCAAGTGAACTGAAATAACATGCATTAAGGAATACCACTGTCTTCTGAAGATGCGAATTAAAATATAAAACATTACATCAAAAGGACAGTAAATATAGCTCCAATATACAAATACAGTCATGTACCACATAACATTTTAGTCACTGACAGGTGGCTGACTGTATTTATGAGACGATCCCATAAGATTATAACAGGTATTTTTACTGTACTTTTTATATGTCTAGATAAATATTTACCATTGTGCTGCAATTACTCCAGTGTTCAGTACAGAAACCTGTTATACAGATTGGGAACTACCATATAGCCTGAGAGTGCAACAGGCTATACTATCTAGGTTTGTGTAAGTACACTCTATAAAGTTCTTCACATAATGACAAATTTGCCTGATGGATTTCTCAGAAAGAATTCCCTTCATTAAGCAATGCAAGACTGTACAGTAAAATCCAATTTAAATATAGGTGAGAAGTGGTTTCAAACTTTTTTATATCTCAAGTATATGCAAAATAATTAAAGACCTTTTTTTTTATCATACTTTAAGTTCTAGGGTACACGTGCACAACGTGCAGGTTTGTTACATATGTATCCATGTGCTATGTTGGTGTGCTGCACCCATTAACTCGTCATTTACATTAGGTATATCTCCTAATGCTATCCCTCCCCTGTCTCCCCACCCCACGACAGGCCCTAGTGTGTGATGTTCCCCTTCCTGTGTCCAAGTGTTCTCATTGTTTAATTCCCACCTATGAGTGAGAACATGCGGTGTTTGGTTTTCTGTCCTTGCGATAGTCTGCTGAGAATGATGGTTTCCGGCTTCATCCATGTCCCTACAAAGGACATGAACTCATCCTTTTTTATGGCTGCATAGTATTCCATGGTGTATATGTGCCACATTTTCTTAATCCAGTCTATCACTGATGGACATTTGGGTTGGTTCCAAGTCTTTGCTATTGTGAATAGTGCCACAATAAACATACATGTGCATGTATCTTTATAGCAGCATGATTTATAATCCTTTGGGTATATACCCAGTAATGGGATGGCTGGGTCAAACGGTATTTCTAGTTCTAGATCCTTGAGGAATCGCCACACTGTCTTCCACAATGGTTGAACTAGTTTACAGTCCCACCAACAGTGTAAAAGTGTTCCTATTTCTCCACATCCTCTCCAGCACCTGTTGTTTCCTGATGATTGCCATTCTAACTGGTGTGAGATGGTATCTCATTGTGGTTTTGATTTGTATTCATCTGATGGCCAGTGATGATGAGCATTTTTTCATGTGTTTGTTGGTTACATAAATGTCTTCTTTTGAGAAGTGTCTGTTCATATCCTTCGCCCACTTTTTGATGGGGTTGTTTGACTTTTTCTTGTAAATTTGTTTAAGTTCTTTGTAGATTCTGGATATTAGCCCTTTGTCAGACGGGTAGATTGCAAAAATTTTCTCCCATTCTGTAGGTTGCCTGTTCTCTCTGATGGTAGTTTCTTTCGCTGTGCAGAAGCTCTTTAATTTAATTAGGTCCCATTTGTCAATTTTGCCTTTTATTGCCATAACGACATTCTTAAATCCAGTGATTCAGGCCAGGCACAGAGGCTCATGCCTGTAATACCAGCACTTTGGGATGCCAAGGCGGGTGAATCCTTTAGGCCAAAAATTTGAGACCAGCCTGGTCAACATGGCAAAACCCTGCCTCTACCACAAATACAAAAATTAGCTGGGTGTGGTGGTGCATGCCGGTAGTCCCAGCTACTCGGGAGGCTGAGGCAGGAAAATTGCTAGTACCTGAGAGGCAGAGGTTGTAGTGAGCTGAGAACATGCCACTATACTCTAGCCTGGGAGACTGTATTAAAAAAAAAAAAAAAAAAGACTCTGTTAAGGCTCTGTTTAAAAAAAAATTAAAAATCCAATGTTTTATAAGTTGAATTTTACTGAGAATTGCTTCCAGCAGAATGGGTTTTACACTTTCAAGGGTCTGCAGACCCCTGCCATTATAGATGAGTAAATCACAGTAAGGGTTTCCTTCAAGCCAGAGTACTCAATTTTGAGTCAAAAGGATTTCAAAGTCTTCTCTAACAAACAGAAGGCAGTATATCCATATGTAAAGAAAAAAAATAAGAAAGACTTGCTGACTCATAGAAACATACCATAAGCCCCTGGCCCCATGAGTAATTTATTTGATTAGAACTCAAGCCTGTAATAATCTGACCATCTGCCTTACTACTGGGCACAACTAGTTAGACTCCATGACACAATGCAGCAGTGGTAGTGAAAGGGCATAGTTATATGTACAATTTCCTCTCTAACCATAAATATTAATGTATATGACTTTGTTTTTCTTTCTTCTTAAAGGCATAATGTAGTACTAAGTGCCATAGTTTCATTTGGTATCTGAAATAAGAAAACTAAATATTCAATCATCCAAAGAAGAGCTCACTTCTTTTCCTGTGCTAATGCAGCCATTTATCTCTGTTATGATTCCTCTAGTCAACATCTTGAATAAAATCATTCTTGTTCTGGGATCCAACACCTAAAAAGAAAGGCAAAAATTAAAAAGTTCCAAAAGATAGTACCAAATTTTCCTCATTAAAATCTCTGGCAATTAATAAACAGCAGAGCTTAACTGTATTATGCTATCCTGGTTGACTAAATGAGAGTCACTATTTGGCACTTTTATTCACTCTAATTGTTAATCAGTAAAATGTCAGGTAAAGGCCAAAGGAACCAAAGGTAACCAACTAACAGGTTCATCCAGTCATGGAATTCAAAGGCTACCAAGTCCACGGGAAACAGAAATGAACTCTAGGCTATTAGCTAATAGAAATATAACGCAGACTACATAAATAGTATTACATGTTCTAGTCACTACACTGAGTAAAAAGAATCAGGTGAAATTATCTTAATATATTTTATTTAACTCAAAATATCTAAAACACTATCGTTTCAACCTGTATCAATATAAAAAGTCATCAGTGAGATAGTCCTTGTTTCTGACACTAAGTCTGCAAACTCCGGTGTGTCTTTTGCATTTACAGCACATTCAATTCACACTAGCCACTTCTCAAGTGCCCAGTGGCTACTGCCATGGACAGGCAGCTTTAAATCAAGGGTCAGCATTCTCTGGCCCAGGGACCAAATCAGGCCACAGCTTATTTTTCCTTAGCCTGCAAGCTAAGAATGGGTTTTACACTTTTAAAGGATTGCTTTGAAAAAAAAACAACAAAAAACAAATTCTATGTGAGCCACAATGCTCGCATCTATTTACTAGCTGGCCCTTTCAAGAGTCTGCAGACCCCTGCCATTACAGATGAGTAAATCACGGCAAGAGTCTGCTTCAAGCCAGAGTAATCAATCTTGAGAAAAAAGGATTTCAAAGCCTTCTCTAACAAACAGAAGGCAGTGAATTTAAAGGCTGTTCTTGTTCATCTCTGAAACTAGAGCAGCCAAATATTTGTATGCAATTTCTAAGGATACCAAACAATAACTCCTTGTGGCTCAGGCAGGCCCTCTAGCCCCCATGGGGTGAGACAGTATTATAAACTAGCCAAACCCAACTATACTTTAGGGTCCACCTTCAATGAAGTGGCTGGGGTCACACTAGAAACCTAAGGTTAATATAAACAAAACCACCTGGGAAGACTACAAGACTAAAAGCCAAATCACAACCATTGCAACTACAGAAGAATGAAAAGGCACTAGTTTCCATTCCTTCTCTACTGCACAGGTAAGCAAAGAGGGGAAGTCAGCTGGCTGAGTATGGGTCTCTAGGTACAGAACTGCACTTCTGCAAAGTTAGTAGTCAAACAAGTAAGGGGATAGGAAGAAGTAACAAACTAAATGGCTTAAGAACAAAACAAGGAAAGAGAAATGATAAATGTATACACAAGCATATATTTTACACAGACAGCTGAAGACTCAAGCTGTGTACTCTATCATTCAAAATTAATTTTGAAAGAGAAAAAGAATGTCCTGCCAAAAATAACCCTAAACTTATGTAGGGTCTTTGAAACTTAAGGTTATCTCATTTTTCTGAGGTGAACCATACTTTGTTTTCAATTACAGAAATAAATCACAAAATAAACTAGAGGACAATGAAGACACAGACCCCAGACCCGGCTTCTGTCTAACGGTGGAATTCAGAACATGTGTTTGTGTATATGGGGGTGGGGGTTGGGGGTGGAGAGGAGTGGTAGGTGGCAGAGGCAAATGTTTTGACTCTTTTTATCACTTTCTTCACATCAAAAATCTGGGCCAAAGCTAATATTCAATCACATTCTTCTGAATGTGGGAAAATTAGGGGTCAATTTTTCCCCATTCTTGAATAGAAAGAATAAAACAAGCATAATTTCTAAACAAAGGATTCCTAATTGGAAATTTGAAGACCTTATCCGCCCCTCTCTCTTTCACACCCACACTTTCTGCTTTGTGGCAGATACCCTACCTTCTTCTGGGAAAGCTCACAAGATTCCTGCGGACCTTTTCTACAAGACTGCTGGTCTGATAATCTCTCCAAGAAGGGAAAGCATTGCATGGTGGCTCTGCAAGGCCACTGAAGGACTATGACCCTAATTCATCCAATAGTCCTATAAAAGCAAAATATGTCTCTAAACTCGAAACTATAAAAAGGAGTAATTGTATATAGGACTAATTTTAGGTAACATTAGCATTAAGCAAAAAGGATAAAAGCAAACTACAATTCAAAGAGAAAAGAAACGCTAATTAAAAAGAAGAGTTTGCAACACATTTAAATTGTACCTGTTCTACAGTTGCTCTGTCTGCCTTATCTTTGATGCGATACCTAACCAAAAACAAAAACATATAGTTGACACATTCAAAATTCAGTGAGAAGCCAAAATAAAAAGCTTCTAAATGTAGATAATTTCATGAAAATTCCTAAGTAAGTAGTTTCTTTAAATAACAGATTTTATGATATGATTGTATATTTTTCACTACTCAGTGAAACTTTCTTCATTTCCCCTGAATATGCAAAATTCAATTCTGTATTTTGGCAAAAGGAGTACATATGCAGTAAAAAGAAAAATCTATTCCTATTTCAGAAGCATCAAAGAGCCGCCAGGGTAAAGTGAACAATGCTGAAAAACAGAAAACATTGAGTATATTTATACTGTCCTTCAAATCTTTAACGATTCTATTAGCACGAATTAAAGTCTTGTCTTCTTTTATTTAAAGAGACAGCATCTCACTATGTTGCCCAGGCTAGACATAGACTCCTTGGCTCAAGTATTCTTCCTGCCTCAGCCTCCACATAGAGTTAGTCATTTACAAGGCTTTCTCTTTAGAGTCATTTTCTAAGAAGACACAAGTTTTTGTTTGTTTGTTTGTTTGCTTGTTTTGAGATGGAGTCTTGCTCTGTCGCTCAGGCTGAAGTGCACTGGCGCAGTCTTGGCTCGCTGCAAGCTCCGTCTCCCGGGTTCATGCCATTCTCCTGCCCCAGCCTCCCGAGCAGCTGGGACTACTGGTGCCTGCCACCATGCCCGGCTAATTTTTCGTATTTTTAGTAGAGACGGGGTTTCACGTTGTTAGCCAGGATGGTCTTGATCTCCTGACCTTGTGATCCGCCCACCTCGGCCTCCCAAAGCGCTGGGATTACAGGCGTGAGGTACTGCACCCGGCAGTTTTTTTGTTTTTTAAAATCATTTCAAGACAGTTTTCAAATGCAGACTCTGATTTGCTTCTGCTCATACACTGAGTGACTCTACCTAGCACACTAACCTAAACTAATAAAGGTTTAAACACAAAGATTCAAACAGATACCAGTGAAATAACAAATGACTATGGTGTAGCTCAAAAAGCTGATACCTCTTGGACATAATAAATCGGAAGAAAGTTGGCTTTTAAGTTCAATTCTCACAGTTAGTTGTATGATCTTAGTGTCTTTTTCTATAATATAGTGTTAATACTTCAGAGTTAGTAGCATATAAGAGAAGTGAGCCAGATCTTAAACAATTGGCTTTGAGTACAGAAGTGAAAGCAGAAACAGTTCTCAGTTATGTCGTTAGTTCATAGTCTTCCCTTAAATTTTTAAAAATACTTCATGGGAAAGAATAATTCTTAATAAATTTTAAGGGAACATTTTTGCACATTTTAGTTTAAACTGAAATCTACAAACACTGTTCCCCTCATGAGAACACATTTGTAAATGTCATGAGATTCTAGTTTTACTATGTATTTCTTAAAATTCATTAATTTTTATTTTATGTATTTATTTTTGAGATGGAGTCTCGCTCTGTGGCCCATGCTGGAGTGTAATGGCACAATCCTGGCTCATGGCAACCTCCACCTCCCAGGTTCAAGCGATTCTCATGCCTCAGCCTCCCGAGTAGCTGGGATTACAGGCGTGCACCACCACCTCTGGCTAATTTTTGTATTTTTTGTAGAGACATGGTTTCACCATGTTGGCCAGGCTGGTCTCAAATTCCTGGCCTCAAGTGATCCCCCCAGCTCAGCCTCCTGAAGTGATGGCATTACAGGCATGAGCCACCAAACCCAGCCAAGATTCATCAATATTTTTAATTCACAAAGGCATAGGCTATCCTCATTTAAGCTGAGGAAAACACACACCCCCCCCCAAAATAATAACTGGTTTAAGTATACAAATGAACAACTTTTGTAAACGAATTATGATCAAGGTGCTGCTTAATCTAGACTAGTCCCTATCACCCATGCTTATTATTAAAATATTACTTACATATCTGCTTCCTTTTGTCTAGACTTTTCGGTGACTTTATTTATGACAGAATCAGTAACATTTAGCTTATCTAAAATACAAGAAACCCACAATGTAAACAATACGTAACACAAAAAGACATTAACAGAGTTGCTGAACAGGGTATTTCTCCCCCTTCCTTCTTTTCTATACTTTCTAAATATTTTACTGTAGACAGAATACAGTTTAGTAATGAAAACAATATCATGTTTTTAAAAGTAGGCACTAAACTGTGTTTCCTTGATAAGTGTTGTCACTTTCATCACTACAGCTGTAATATTTGAGCCACAGAATTCTAGATGCAGAAATTCTTCAAAAATACTAATTTGCATAATAAATTTTAGACAATTGCTAGTATTTCACATGACTAATATAACTGCCTGAATTTCAAGTTTAATTCTAAAAACTTGTTTCACTTCAAGTTATAAGTCTATGATAGGCAAAGAAGGCCCTAAAATACTTATATTAATTTAGCATGTACTGACAGCTTATATGAGACACTGTGCTGGGTTTAGAGTGAAGATCCACAAGAAAAGAAAGACGGCCTTCCTTCCTTCCGTCCCTCCATCCCTCTCCTGCATTTGCTAAGAGGTGGTGATTCAAATCAACACTCTGATGCCTGGCATTGAACAGGTCACTAAATAATTAACACCTACATTAAAAACCTCTAGTGAAACAAAATGTAACTATATTCAATACCCCAGTATTTTTAGCATCCTACTATGAGATAACCCTATTACAAAATCTCAAACAGGCTGGGCGCAGTGGCTCACGCCTGTAATCCCAACACTTTGGGAGGCCGAGGAGGGCAGATCACTTGAGCTGCTCAGTGTTCAAAACCAGCCTGATCAACATGGAGAAACCCCGTCTCTACAGAAAATAGAAATTAGCCAGGTGTGGTGGTGTGCACCTGCGGTCCTAGCTACTTGGGAGGCTAAGGTGGGAGGACTGCCTGAACCCCAGAAATCGAGGTTGCAGTGAGCCAAGATCGTGCCACTGCACTCTAGCCTGGGTGACAGAGTGAGACCCTGTCTCAAAAAAACACCTAAAACAGAACAGATGATAACTTAAATGGGTTTTTGTAACATTACATTCCTATGGCAAGGGGAAAACAACCAAAATAGCATAAGTTTAAGTCTTTTCCTAAGGTTATGTTTTTAAATTACTAATATTTTAATGTTCTGTAAACACTATTGAGTCAGTAACACTTGAATACATTCATTTCTTTTTTCTTTTCTTTTTTTTTTGAGATGGAGTTTTGCTCTTATTGTCCAGGCTGGAGTGCAATGGCGCAATCTTGGCTCATCGCAACCTCCACCTCCCAGGTTCAAGTGATTCTCCTGCCTCAACCTCCCAAGTAGCTGGGATTACAGGCATGCGCCACCACGCCCAGCTAATTTTGTATTTTTAGTAGAGATAGGGTTTCACTATGTTGGTCAGGCTGGTCTCAAACTCCTGATCTCAGCCTCCCAAAGTGCTGGGATTACAGGCGTGAGCCACCATGGTAAGCCTTCATTTCTTAATCTAATAAAATTATACAACACTTCATGGTTTTAGAAAAATGTCCTCTTAGCCCAATGATGTATTTTGTAAACTCACCTAAATTAATTTTATTCTCAAATTTCCGTAAGACCTTGTCTGCTGGAGTAGACATTTTGGCTGAACTGCTGTCGGAGGTCTGTCGATTTGCCTAGAAGAGAATTCCAGAGTCTAAGGCACTAGTTGAAATACAAACCTAAGATTCATCATCACATTTCCTTAGTTCATAGTTAGCTATTCAAGCATCAATACTTAGAGGAGTATCTTAAGGAAAGGTAAGAGTCAATCAAATTGGCTCAAAAAAATTTTTAAAGAGTTTTTGAGACAGAAGGTTAAAATTAATGACTAAAAGAGTCTGCATAATCCATTTTTTTAAACTTCTCTATGATTCCTCTTATTATAAGTAACAGATTAAAATTAAATGTAGTTTTCTAATTTGACTGGTTTATAGACTTAAAATTTGAGAATGTTCATTTACCTCTAAAGTTTATAATAAAGAGCTAAGACCAACATTAAGCTGGTTCAGAATTTCATTTTGGGCCCAACGTCTCAAGAGAGGGAAATATTAAGTACGAGGCTTAGCACTTAGACTGGTGCCATGCACAAACTTAAATAATGAAATCACTCAAAGCTTCATTATGAATCAATGAAGGAGTCACCAAAACAAGACGATATGAAGATGTCAAATCTCTTGTTACTCACAATGTGGTTATTTTAAAATGCATACATTCTGGTCCATGATACAGCCATTTTATTATTGCTGGTTTTTAGAGACAGAGTCTCGCTCTGTTGCCCAGGCTGGAGTGTCGTGGCATGATCTAGGATCACTGCAACCTCTGCCTCCTGGGTTCAGGCGATTCTCCACCCTCAGCCTCCCAAGTAGCTGGGATTACAGGTGCCCGCCACCATGCCTGGCTGATTTTTGTGTTTTTAGTAGAGACAGGGTTTCACCATGTTGGCCAGACTGGTCTCAAACTCCTGACCTCAGGTGATCCCCGCCACTTGGCCTCCCAAAGTGCTGGGATTACAGGTGTGAGCCACTGCACCCAGCCAATACAGCTGTTTCAATAGTCAAAGGAAGACTGTTGGATTAACCTTTATGCTCCAGGAAGATGTACCATGTTAATCCTATGGCCTTCCAAACGCCTAACACACTTGGTACTTCCAGTATGAGAAGCAGCTGTACGTGGTTTGGTCACTTGTTTTTTGTACATGGTAAATAATCATAAACATATTCCTATCTCATTAATACAGTCTTCCATTACAACATCTTTTATGGCTGTATAATGCCTCATTGTGCGAATCAGTCCCATAGCAGGTTTAATCCAGTTCAAGGTTGTTTCCAACGTTCCTCTACCATAAACAACCGTGGGGGATCATTCTTGTAACTAAGTCTTGGCACACTCACAGAATTGCTAAGTCGAAGTATTTTGAAGCATTAAAAGTTTTTATCACGTACCAGCTTATCCTGCAAGTAAGTGCACCTATTTACTCGACCATCAATGATATGTTTTGTCTTTAACAGTTTCATAGGTGAAAAAATGGCATCTCTACAAATTTAATCTGCATTTATTTAGTTACTAATGAGGCTGAACTTTTTTTAACATGTTTCTTAACTATTTGTAGTAAACTGCCAATTCGTGCCCTTTCCCATGAAGATTTTAAGCTCACAATCTTATGAAACCTTAAATAACTCTTCTTACATTTACAGATTCTGGAAAGAATCCACACCCAGGAAATTAACAGAAATACAGAAAGGATGAAAAGTGAAAATCAGTAAAGGCTGAGGCTACAGGACAGCATAACACGAAGAAAATCTTTTAGTTATTCAATTTCAGAATCACAAAACAGCCTTTTAAAAAAGAAGACCTAAGCAGACTACATAAAGATGTGCAGGATCCTTTATAAAATACCTGTGGGTTGCTTCCTCCATTCCAGACATAACCCTTAGTGACTTTTCCAACTCCTTCATCCCAGTCCCAATCGTCATCATCATCATAACCGTCCTCCTCCTCATCTTCTATTTCACCTTCACCATTCTCATTCACATTGTCTTGAAGGTTTTCAAACAGAATGTCATCCTTCTCTCTGACTGTCTTCAAGTTTCTGTTTTCACTAGAAATAACAATGTTTTATTATTTCATAACAATATTTCCACATACCCTAACTGATCTCACATATTTATGATGTAAGATATTAAAATATTGATAAATCTAGAATAGATTATATATTTATATACAATACACCTTCTGATAAGCTCCATCTCCTTAAAACCATGTTCTCCTGTTTTCCAGTTCTGTTGCAGTTGTTTGCTCATTCTCCATGCCCAAATCCTACTATTGAAGAAGCACATCAAGTGTTAAATCTGCTTCTGCCTTGGTGAACTTAGAAATTACATTGTTATCTTCTCTATTGAATACACAACTCAGACCAGTATACCAGACTTGACTCTAGGAAAATGATTCACAGAGCTGCTTTAAGAGAGAGGAAAATCTTTCTGTAAAAGAAGAAAAAAGAGAGAGGGGCAAAAAAGGCTGGTGCAATGGCTCACACCTTTGATCCTAGCTACTTGGGAGGCTGAGGTCATAGGATTGCTTGAGCCCAGGGGTTCACGGCTGCAGTGAGCCATGATTGTGCCACTGTACTCCAGCTTGGGCAACCCTGTCTCTAAAAAAAAATTGTAATTAAAAAAAAAAAAAAGCTTTCTGACAAAAAATTTGGGAATAAGTCTAAGGCAGCCTTACTTTGAACTCAATAACACTTTGCAACAAAAGAAGTTACATCAAGATTTGTGCCCCACAAAGAAATCCAAATCAACCCTGTTCATGATGGGAAAAAACGGTGAATACAGGGGCCAGGCACTACAAATGAGTGAAGTAGGCTGCATGATAGAAGCGGAGACTGGCAAACTGGGAGAAGAGATCCAAGGTAAAGGGAGCACAACTAGTAAGGGCTTTTTTGTTTGTTTGTTTTTTGCCATATTAGAATTCAGGCCTAGTGTTACCAGATCTTAAGTTTTCAAGAGAAGCTATAAGTCTGGATTTCTGTGTAAAATCTATCCCTTCATTGGCATAGTCAATTTTTACAAATAACTGTGCATACCAAACAAAACATATCTGCAGGCCAAATTCAACAGAGGCCAAATTCAGTTTTTACCTCTCACGTACAGAATAAGGACAGAAACCATAAAAAAGCAGCTGGTAATAGGAGATACCACCTGAAAAACATACATAACTTTAAGTAAAGTCAGATTATTAATCCAATTTATTAATTAGCCATGGCTCTGAGGGCTCCCCATGGACATGTGGAGGAAGAGAACAGATAATCATCAAACACTTGCTAGTTACCAGGACTTCATACATACGCTCCATAGATTGATACATAATTGCCTAGAGTGGCATGTTGAAGTTATAACTTTGCCAGATAGCTCTTCATTGTGGGCGAGTGTCTTCTGCATTGTAGTTTGTTTAGCAGCATATCACTGGCCTCTACCTACCAGATGCCACTAATGCACCACCACCCCCAGTTGTGACAAATAAAAACGTCTCCAGAAATTGCCAAAAGTCCCCTGGGTAGAAGTCCGGATGGCAACATCTTCCCTGATGGAAAATCACTGGTGTATCCTTACAATACCCTGGGGTGAATGGTAAATTAGTGTCCTCTTATTACCATTAACTACCCACCAGCTGTGCTGGCTGTGTTTCTTCTGCTGCTTAACTTCTTCCCTAAGGCTTTTTGTACACTTCTCTGTAACCATAAAACTGGAATGCCCTCCCTCTTTCTCTGGCTAACCCCTACTCATCCATCAGGTATCAGCTCACTATCACTTGCTCAAGGAAGCCTTCCCTGTTTTTCACCTACTTCTCCTTTGCACTACTTACCCAATTCGAATACAAATAGCCTAATTATTTAATAATATCGGTATCCCCTGCTAGGGTGCAAGCTCTGTGTCATTCAGGAGGGTGTTTACCAATGCCTCCCTACGACCTAAGACTAGATCTGACACACAGAAAGCAGTCAACATACATATATTTATTTAAAAATCCCCAATAATTAATAAAATCTACATGTAATGAATCCTTACTGTAAACATAAAGTATAAACTGTTTTCTTGGAATTCCAAAATAACTCCAATATGTTTCATTTTGCTTTTAGGCAGGAGTTATCCTTCATTCCTCTTTCCCCAGACCCCACCTCCAATCTACCACCAAACCCTGCCACTTCTACCTCCAAGACATATCTTCAGGATCTGAGCTCTAGTCCCCACCATCTTTGAATCTGATTACCTTATTACTTTTAAACTGGTCTCTCTGTTCCACTCCCACCCTCCATGAACATCATCTACATAGAAGAATGATTCCTTTAAATCACTAATGTCATTCTTCTGCTAAAATCCCTCCTATGGCTTTCCGTAAGACCCAGATTAATATCTGAACTTTTCGCCATCACTTGTAAGGGTCTCCATGATCTGGCCCCCCTTCTTACTTCTCTATCATCACCCTACCAATCTTCTCAACTATCTCCACTGTGCTCTAGGCACTCTGGCCTCGGGGCCTTTGCTCTTGCTGTCCCTTCTGTGTGAAATGCTGTTCCCTCTGCTCTTGCCAAGATTAGCTCCTCGTCATTCAAATCTGGACTTAACCTTTCCCTACCCATTCAGTCAGCACTTGGTATATTAAACGATTTGCATAGTCTACATCATTATTTGGTTTTTAAATGGTGTGCCCTCTCTTTGACGTAGAAGGTAAAGTTCCATGACAGCAGGAAGTTGGTTCGTCTTGTTCATCACCATCTCCGGCGCCCAGGACAGAACGAGGTACATATTAAGTGCTTAGTATTTGTTGAACGCTAAATGTGGTTAAAGCGCAAAAACCCATGTTTCCTAATCGCTATCCCCAACTCTGCCTTCCAGTGACGCTAACCGACCTGAAAACCGCAGACTCCCTTGACAAGCGGCTTTCACTAACTGCCGCGTGAACGGGGAGAAAGACCCAGTGGGGATGCAGAAACAGGCAAAAGGTTGTCAAGAGAGACGCTGAGTGATGAACCACTAGTCTCCCTCTAAACTACAAACAAGAATCCACGCCCCAAGGGGGCGGACAAGGTGAGAGCAGTAACCAGAGCCAGGGCACTGTACGGCCGCCTACCTGTCAGAGGAGTCCGCGTCGTCGAACTGCCCGGGGACCACCCGGCTCATAAGAAAACGCCGGTAGTCCATGGCTGCAGGGCGCCGCCGGAGGCCGCCGCTCTGCGCTGGGACAGGAACGGCTCAGACGGATGTACCCACGGCCGATCCAACGGCCTCGGCGTGGATCTCCGCCTTGTAAAGCATTCAGAAGCCAACAGTGGCCGCCACGTGCGACGGGAAAACGGGACCAACAGGTCCACCACCCTACCACCCCAACCGGAAGCCCCGCTCCGCCTCGCCCGGAAGTCTGGCTTGAGCGGAAGTCCTGCCCCTGCGCCGGGCTGAGAGTCCGGCGCTCGCTCTGAATGCCGGGTGGTATTGGCTTGTGGGTGTTTTGTGCTCCCGGGCAGGCGTGTTGAGTAGCTGGCCCGGCGAGGCCCGTGCTGGCCGTTTCTTCTCGGAGTTTTGGGGTTTTTTTCCCCCACTTTGTGTTTACTGCGGCAGGAGGCGCCAGCTAGCCCGCAGGCTGTTCGGCCTAGGGGGTCGTAACCTCCCAATTTCACCACTCTCTGGGAAGACAGACCCGAGGCCGTCCCCCGCCGCACCCACAGTGGTTCGGAACTCGCGGGCTGCGTCGGTCCCCGCGGAGATCCCCGGGCGCGGGCGGACGTCACACAGGGGCGTTCCAGCACTCCGGGAGCTCCATTGCGAGTTTGTGAGAGTCCTCGGTGGAGGAGGTTGGAAAGCGTTCTCCCTCCCACAAAACCCGGTGCAGAGGGAGGGAGCGCCAGGTCCGTAGCGTGGGTCCAAGAAACTCTATGGATCCTGGAAGTGAGCACACTTTTGTGTCTTAAAAAGTTTGGTGTCTCGTTTTGAGGTGAAAAATGAATGAGATAAGTGCTTTTTAAAAAGGTAAAGTTTGTCGTACAACTGAAAAAGCGTTTAAACAAGATTATAGTTTTTGCCAGTAACGCCCGTGACACCTCTTTTAACTCCTATCCTAAAACAGCTTTAGAATGTCTGGGACATCTATTCAAACATTTGATAAATATGTTAAAAATCCAACATAAACCTGTAAGGACAAATGAAAGATGGAAAAAATAGCCTAACTTATTAAAAAGAAACTGGCAGATTGTGCAGCGCCGTATGAGGGATGAACAAAGTTGTAGAAATGTAATCGGAAGTGCTGGGTTCACAAACAAGAAAACTTAAGAAACAAGTCCTTTGCGCTGTTTTGCATTGAGAAAACAAAGCAAGAATTTTTCAGATCTCACCACAATCCAGGCAGCATTATTTGAAAGACAAGGGAAAGGTGAGCATGAAGTTGGGCCTTTCACTGATCCTGACTAGTCTGCTTGGCTGGCTTTTTTGTCTTTTACCGAGTGATGACATAGGTTTGAAAACAACTAATTTTCAATAAACTATTCATTCAGACATTCAATAAAAGAATCCAGGCAGATGAGTAATGACTATAAATTGAGAGAGCTTGATAGAAATAAATCATTAGAATGCAGGTTTTATTCAATCAACGTTTGCTGTGTAGACAGCACCGGTCCATTTGCAGTAGGGGATATTGGAAAGCCGTAAGTCTACTCCTCTTCAGACGTTTATGATCTGTAAATACAAACACTAACACCCTTGAAACAGTGGTGAAGCTCTAGAACAGTAAACGAAATCACCAAGTACTGAATTGTAAGATAGAGATTTAGAGGCTGAAGACATTGAAGCAATTTTGAAAATAGATAAATGGGTAGACCAGAAGGTTTTAGGAGAGAAGCACGTGCCAGGGCAGATGACTGAAGCTTAATTCGTAAGGAACATTATCTGTTTGCAGGGAGATGAGCCTGATCTGAGTAGAGCAGGGGAGTACTGGGTAGGTAATGTCACTCCAGGCTATGCATGGCCTGGAAGGACAAGAAGAATTTATAGACTCAATGTGAGTGGCCATCCTTTCCACTCAGCCCCGGAGAGGCCTGAGGAAGTCAGGAGAATGTGGACCAGTGTGGCAACATGGGATAGAAAGAAAGCACAGGTTACTGAAAGACTTTTTTCTTTTTTTGAGACGGAGTCTCGCTCTGTCACCCAGGCTGGAGTGCGCTGGCGTCATCTTGGCTCACTGCAAGCTCCGCCTCCCGGGTTCACGCCATTCTCCTGCCTCTGCCCACCACCAGGCCCGGCTAATTTTTTTTTGTTTTGTATTTTTAGTAGAGACGGAGTTTCACCGTGTTAGCCAGGATGATCTCGATCTCCTGACCTTGTGATCCGCCCACTTTGGTCTCCCAAAGTACTGGAATTACAGGCGTGAGCCACCACGCCTGGCCCTGAAAGCCTTTTTTAAAGGAGACATGGACGAGACTTGGTATCTGAATAGCCATGGATGATGAGGTAGAGGGATGCCACGACAACTCCAATTTGCAAACACTAGTACCTGAGGGAATAGGCGCAGTATGGGAAAGTGAGGAGGGAAAACTGAGTTACAATGCTGTTTTTGACTTGGTAGTGAGGTGTTCAAGTGGCAGGTATCAAGTAAATAGAAATCCAGCATTTTGTGGAAACTAATAGGTCTCTGATAATATTTTGTAAATATCCTTTGATTAAATAACATAGCGATCCCTTCGCCTTCTAGGTCCAAAGCCGCCTAGGGAATTATTGGATAGTAGCCAATATTATTTGTTTTTCTCGAAATCAGTATTTACTACCATATCAAATTATGGTATACTCAGACTAAAATTTTTAATTTTTCTAATAACTTGACAAATGACATTTCAAACAAGGGCAGTGAACTTTGCTACTTAATGAGAAGAATAGGGAAAAAGCTTTTTGTTTGCACCTACTAATAGACACAATTTTTTTTTTTAAAGAAGCCTTCCATTATTCAACAGTTATGAACAAGGACTATCAAATATTTTGGCCATCACCTTCAGATCCTGTACGTTTTGAAGTGGATACTTCTCATGAAAAAGTAGAAAGCATATCAGAATCGGATACCATGAATGTCAGCAATCTTTCTCAAGGCATAATGCTTTCAGATTCTCCCATCTGTATGGAAACTACCAGTACCACTTGTGACTTGCCTCAGGTGTGCATTGCTTATAAGTTCTGGGAGGCTCAGATGTATTCAGAATTCAATTTCTTCCAAAATATAAGGAACAATAAAACAATCTTCAGTGGACACAGAAAGGAAGGGAATACACGGTCTGGTTTTCCCAGTTTCACTAGCGTAAGCTACATTTTGACCAGCCTGGGCAACATGGTGGGACCCCATCTCTGCTAAAACTATAAAAATTAGCCAGGCATGGAAGCGAGCACCTGTAATCCCAGTTACTCTGGAGGCTGAGACAGGAGAATCACTTGAACGCGGGAGGTGGAGGTTACAGTGAGCCAAGATCGTGCCACTGCACTCCAGCCTGGGCGAGAGAGCGAGGTACATTTTTACACAGCATTAAAACTGATCCTTTCTAGCCTCATGAAGTCCCAGGAGTGCAGCCAGGGGACATGACCACAACAATTCAGGCACAGAGGCAGGACAAGAGCCCAAGGAACCTGGCTTATAGTCTAATGCATCTTCCACTTATGTCAGTATGCAAATAATTCAGTTGTCATTCATAATGACATTGACAGCACCCTGCATGTAAATGACAACTTTCCTATCTTCATGAAGATGCCTAGCTCCTTTTATTACAAAATAAAAGATTGTAATGTCCCAATATCTTCATGAATGTTGTTCTAAACATTTGATAGTCAGTGACATCTGATTCCACTAAATAGGAATTTATAAAAATACGTCACAGATATATGCCTGTTTTATATATCTTCAGTGTTAAAAGATTAGAATAACAACCATCTTAATGCTGTTTAGACTAGATTTAATAAACATCAAAGAATTATCAATACAGAAATATGCTATCATGTATTCCTAAGTTTATAGTCACATGATTTGACTAATCAAAAAACCAAAATATTAAAATAGCAAGCTATTTGTTACATTGTTGTTTAATATTGGGACTCTGTTAGCATAGTTTTACTAAAAGGGAGCCAAATATATGCTGGGGAAAGATACCAGAAAGCACATTTTATCTGTGTAATGAAATATTCTAATAGCAGAATTACATAACAATGTGCAAATACCTTTAGAAGAAGCTTATGATGTTTGCTTGAAGTATTAATGCCTTTTTTATTAATACAGAATGAAATAAAGAATTTTGAAAGGGAAAATGAGTATGAATCCACACTTTGTGAAGATGCTTATGGCACACTAGACAATTTGTTAAATGGTAAGTATCTATTTGTTAGCAATATGCAAAAGAGAGAAACTTTTTGTGTGTGTTCTGTGATAATAACAATAGCCAGGTATTGTGCTAAGCACTTTATATATATCATCACACTTAATCCACAATCTTATTGAAATAAGGCTTTTAAAAAATTGAAATAAGGGCTGTTTTTATCTTCATTTTACAGATAAGGAAAATAAGACTCAGAGAGTAACTTGCCCAGGATTGTGTAGCTTTAAATGAATGAGCCGTAGTCAAGTCCCAGTCTCAGACACAAAAATTTTCTACTATACAAGTATCTTTAAATGTGTATTGAGGTTGGGTGTGGTAGATCATACCTATAATCCCAGTGCTTTGGAAGGCCAAGGTGGGAAGATTGCTTGAGCCAGGAAGTCCACGGCTGTTATGAGCTATGATCATGTCACTGCACTCCAGTGGGCAACAGAAGGAGAACCTGTCTCTTAAAAAAAAAAAAAAGAAAAAGGGCCAGGCACAGTGGCTCACGCCTGTAATCTCAGCACTTTGGGAGGCCTAGGCAAGTGGATCACCTGAGGTTGGGAGTTCAAGACCAGCCTGACCAACATGGAGAAACCCCGTCTCTACTAAAAATACAAAATTAGCCGGGCATAGTGGTGCATGCCTGTAATCCCAGCTACTCAGGAGGCTGAGGCAGGAGACTCCCTTGAACCCAGGAGGTGGAGGTTGCAGTGAGCTGAGATCGCGCCATTGCGCTCCAGCCTGGGCAACAAGAGCGAAACTCCATCTCAAAAACAAAACGAAACAAAACAAAAAGCAACAGGTACAGTGGCTCACACCTGTAATCCCAGCTCTTTGGGGGATCAAGGCAGAAGGATTGGTTGAGTTCACTAGTTTGAGATCAGATTGGGCAACATGACCCCGCCTCTACTAAAAATACAAAAACTTAGCCAGGTGTCATAGTCCTAGCCACTTTGGAGGCCTAGATGGGAGAATTACCTGAGCCCAGGAGGCTGAGACTGCAGTGAGCTGAGATCACGCCACTGCACTGCAGCGTGGGC